TCAGCAGGATGGAATTTATATATATCTACTTCACATTTGTCTGTGCTACTTAAAGATAAATAAAGGTTTGTGCTCAACCCTTTTCCTTTGAGCTCGTACAGCTATAGATTTAAAGAGCCAATTCATGTCTATCGTCGATGTCACCAAAGGCATGCTGTGATTATTCTGTCTGCCATGAGAAATCTTGTGCCGTGCTGTGTCTGGATCCAGCCTCAAATCACAACACCAGTTATAGCTGGATCGGGTGGAGTGTGCTCGCCTTTGTGATTATTTTTAGTTTGGCTATGAGAAATCCCATGCCCTGGCAGTATTTTTTAAAGCGTTGGACATTTTCGTTAGTTCTTATGTTACCTTTCCTGGCCAATCCTCGGCCAAACTGGGAGACCGCTAATTTCTACGGCCGGGTCAATCATCCAATATCTGTACACAGGCTAGTCATGTTGGGTCGAAAGGTAGGCAAGTGCTGTTGGTCAGATTTAGGTGCTGCCAGCCCAAGCGTTTACATGTTCAGGTCATGACTCAACACGAAGTTTGCCATGAGGTATGCTAATGTCATTACTTCATTAAAATCGCACGTTGATTTTTGAGATGATTTTTCCGGATCAACGGAAATTTCAATCTTGGCACCTGGAATCACAAGTTTAGTCTGGTTAAACTTGTGTTTCTTCCAGTACGAACCTGTGACAGCTTATCCCCTTTTTTTTTGTTTTTTTTATGATAACATCGTTAGTGCGTGGTTGTGTTATATTGCGGTGGAAGGGCATGCTTTTGAAAGATGATTTACCACCCAAAATTCCCCTTTCGTTTATAGAAATGTCAGGCTGAAAAGGATGCAAAATACCCTTAAAGATTCAATCATCTAGCTTACGGCCATGATACGCTTCGTGGATGACATGTGACTACGGCTTTTGAGCGTCGAAACCTCGAAAGAGGAGGGTGGTTGCTCTAGTTATAGTGAACCTTAACATGTTTATTGGATAAAGCCAAATTGCCTAGCTTTTGTTTCTTCCTTTTCTTATTTCAAGGTCCTCCAGATAAATCAATTTACCACCTTCATGTGTTCAACACAGATATCAAATAAAGTATTAGTTTTTAGGCTACGATCTACACTCAACAATGTGCCTTTCTCAATCATTCTTGCTCCTCGAGAAATTTGATGCCAGCCTTCGTTATTTTTCTGACGACCACCCTGGTAATTCATTTCTAAATGGACAAGCATTACTTTTCTTTTATCACTGCCAGCGACCAGGATATTATCAGATAAATATCCAGCTTACAAAAGGTTGGCTATTGCAGTCCAAGGTAATTTGAAGGAGGAAAAAAAACTACTTCAGTGGCGTCAATTGAAGTAAAATCTTCTCTACAAGTTTATCTAATTATTTCATGCATTTCTTAATGTGCCATACAACTTGCAAGCAAAGCTATAACATAGCAATATGTTGCACCATGTAGTGTAGTAATGTAACCTAATTGTGTATCATTGCTATATAGCAGGAACAAAAAAGAAAAAAGATACGATGGGAACTCGCCAATAAATCATGATTGGGAATCTTTAATACCAGTAGAGGAATTTCCATGTATGTGTAAGAACTAAATCCCCAAGATGTGATTATTCGGGGAAGAACCTTGAAGCCCTTCATGGGATCATGCAGCAAAATAACAGCTGCTGACATGATCATACCTAGCTGAATCTGAATCTAATGCAATTATTGCCATAGCAGCAGTAATTATGACAACATCATTTACCATTGAAGCTTTCCTGTTCATCACAGGAAAATATCCACAGAGAACAGAAAACACTAGGGATGATGAAGCTAGAAGAGCAGCAGTTGATGCTGGGAGGTATGCATGTATGAGCATATGCATACATGAGATTATCTGCAGCACTTGAAAAACCGAGCACAATATAAGAAACAAGGAGTTCGAAGGTCAGAGGAGTGGGAGAACTATCAACGAAGAGGCAAGAAGGAAACAGAATTAACGCAGTTAAAGGCCACCCAGCAACTGCCATCCATGAAATGATCCACTTGCTTGCGCCCCCATTTGAATAATAGACCCGTGTTAGAAGGCTTGACGCGACAAAGAGCACTGCCGCGGTGCTCAAAGCTAGAAGAATCCAGTGTGAGACTGGCTTCCTTTGGTATGCTTCTTTAATAGTGTGCTTCAAGCTGCGGATTTTGCCCCGCAATGAGACTGGAGGTCTTGGCGATCCCTCCTCCATTATTTCTTCTTATAATGATCAAGGATCATGAGAAATATGATCAAAACAAGTAAATTAAAATCAAATACATTCTTAGGAAAGGCTGTTGAAGTCAGTTCAATGTACGTGGGCGTGCATGAGCTTGTGTTTACGAGTCTTTTAGGATAAGTTACACAACATCCTTCTCTCCCGACAAGTCAATTAGAAGTGGTTTCTCCAGTTCAGAAAAGCCAGTAACGATGAATAGATCAAAATCTAGATAAAAACGCTGAACAGAATTCATCCTCGATAACAATGCAGTATTGAAAACATCCACAGTAAAACAATGCTTGATGTCTTGTATGATACAAGAGAATCGAGAATCTACCATTAAAAGACACTCTTCTAAAACATCATAAAAAAAAAAAAGGAAATGTGCAAGAAGGGAAGAGATCTCCACATTCCACCAAAATTTGAGCTGTTAGAAGTAAGATATGTAAGGCTACACAATCACCACAGGAGCAAGGAAAGGTTGGCATGCATAGAACTGATTTTAATGTTACCATGTCATGCAGATTATGCCATAGAATAACTTACAACCCTGCCTTCCTTCCACCGCTGAAAACCTCAAACAAATGAACAGACCATCATGTTTTTACCATGCTTGAAACAAGCGCAAGGTTAAACCTCAAAACTGCTTAAATGATCGGATCCCGCAGAACGACAATAGACCATATCACATCAAAGCCTCAACTCACAGTGATGAAATCTTCGAAATTCGAAGATTAGATTTATTTATTTATTTATGGGCTCTGTGAAGCTCCCCAAAGCGTTTAGGGCCCAATTAGGGCTTGTATGCATTCTGGCTTGGACATATCATTCTGCTTAATGCTCTTTCGGAACGGGTCGATTTGGATCCCTAGAAACCCTTGACCCAAAAAATCCAAAAGATTCATCATGAAATTGGGTCTGAGGTGTCCATAAGGACCAGAAAGATAATTCCCAAAAAAACAGATTGCATAGAAGCTCCAGACTCGATCGTAATCGTACCTTTATCACCTAGAACTTAACCTCGGTTTGGTCCTCGAGCACCCTAGCCCTAACTTAGTGATCCAACCACAGCATAGAGATCCAACTCCCAATGTGCATTTCGAGCCTGGTTTGAGCTTGATTTTGCCCATTTTCTAACTACCTGAATCCACTTTGATTTCAAAAACTTAGGGTGGTGAATTAAAAAACATTTTTTAAAATAATTCAATTTTAGTTTTCAGCCAAATGTTATTTTATTGAAAACAAACAACTTTTCAAAACTAGAAATCAAAAAACAAAAATAATGTTAAACATCCCTTTAGTTATCTATAAATAGATCATCTAGTTGTCATCGATGGTTCTTATAGACGGAAACCTTTACTTTTCTTATTTTTTTTTTCACTTTTTCATTGTTTTAGATCATCTAGCCTTTTATTTTGTGTATGTAGATTTAGATTATATTAACTATTTGACTCAATAAAAAAATAAATACATAAGCTTTTCCAACATGTTTTTAGATATAAAAATATTTTCAACTATAAATCAAAATTCTTATACACCAATCTTTTTTTAATTAAATAAATCAACATTTAATCAAGAGATAACTAAGATTAAGATATTTAATTTTACAACACAGGTCATATACTCACTTGTGTTTAATAACTTTGTTTATGAAAATAATTTTTTTATTTAATCAAAAGATTATTCTTGCAAGTGAAAAATAAAAATAAAAGTCATTAATTAAAGTGAATTGAATAAAACTATAGATCTGAACTATAAACAACACAAAGTTAGATGGAAAAACTAAAAAAATACAAATTAAAAAACAATAAAAAAGAATATAGGTCAACTCGCTAATCTTGGGATCATGGACACAATATTGGGATAGCCCCATAGAAAATAAAGTGAAAAAAGAAGAAGCATGAAGATCAACTTCTAAAAATTCAAATGTTAAAGGATAAAATTAAAAAAAAAAAAAAAAAACAATAAGTGTTAACTTTCAAAATCCATAATCGTGGTTATGATGCTGGGAATGAATGCATAGAAGGCAAATATGAAAAAATAAAATAAAAAAATTTCAATTAAAAGAATTTTAAGTGATGAAACTAGAATATTTTTTAAAAAAAAAACAACAAAAAAAATCATTGAATTAACTTGTAAACTTTGTGACAATGAGAATAGGACCGATAAAAAGAAGAATGAAAGAAAAACATGAAGATCAATTAAAAAAATAAATATTGAAGAATAAAATTTAAATAAATCAATTTTATAAAAGAATCTAAAAAATCAAAATCAACCTATGTTAATATTTAAAACCTGTGACTTTAATTATGAGGTCGGGATGAAATTTATAGAAGGCAAACAAAAAGATCAAGAAAAATTCTTGGTAAAAACAATGTTGAGGTATAATTTTTTTTAAAAAAATATAATAAAAAAGGGATCCAAAAATATAGCAATAAAAATAATGGGAACTAGATTTGATATAAAAATAAATAAAAATTAAATGTTAAGGGATGAAAATAAAAATAAAATTCAATTATTAAAAACATTAAGAAAATCAATAGAATAAAAACCAAATTTGATATAAAAATCTAATACAACCAAATAATGAGAGATGAAGTTGAATAAAAAATTAATCCAAAATATATATATATATATATAAACAAATAGCAATAAAAAAAAAAATGAAAAAACACCTTCACACTTTGGTGAGGAGAAAAGAGAGAAAAGAGGGAGGAGAAGAAAAATATTCACCGAAGTTGAATTGTCTATCAACCTCACACACGTTGTACCACTAGGAAAAGAATGTTGGTGTGCTTCCAATGCCTCCATGAAAGACAAGGTTTCATTGTCTTTACATGCTGCATGAGCCGCCTGAAGAGAGGCGAGTGACATTCATTTATTGGCGCATGCATGACACGTGCAACCACCTTTTTTATTAATATTTTATATTTATAAAACAACTAAATTGCCACTATAAAATGTGAGTATAACAAAAAAAAAATCAATAGCAAAAGACCAAAAAACCCCTATAAGGGAGTTCTAATCCTTTTTTAACACAAGAGAATTTAAGTAATTGCACTGTGTGTAAAAAATTGTCCAGCCTATAAAGCCTTTATACAGGAGTATTGGAATCCCGAATATTATACATACAATGAAAACAATAAAAAAATATATTATTTAAAAGTCTTTGTTATCTCATTAGATAGATCTAAAATTGTTTAGAGACTTGTGACCTAAAGATATTTTTTTAGAAATTGATTTGTTACAAATCACAAATCATCCAATTGTCCAGCCTCCAACGGTAATCCACACAAACCACTAGTAAAAAATCTCTTAAATTTTTATTTAAAAGAGAGGGATTTCTATTCCTAGAATGTTAGCTCTCTACTATGCGACTTACATAATTTTTATGTCTAACAAGTAACCATAAAAAAATAAGAAGCATAACTTACAATTTATAGAGAAATCTGAAAAACTCTATAAATTGATAAAATATCAATTTTTCCTTGTAATAATATCTATTTATTAATTCAAGATAATTTTATAAATTAACTCAATGAAGTCCTTACTTGATTTTTCTAAGTCTAGAAATATAATCATTTTATTAATTATATCTTAGTCCTTAATTTATAAAGTATATTTTAATCAAGTTATACTTAATTCAATCATATCTGTTTAATTTATGACTAATAATTTTTAATATGTGTGACCAACTAGATTCTTAATATATTAACTTAAATAATTTTAATTAAATAATTTAATTTATTATCAATTTAATAATTAATTTATTTATATTTGAATATTAGGTGTATCATCCATATTATGATTCTCAAAATATTAAAAAAGTTATTAGTGGTTTGATTTAATATTTCAGTAGCCAGTTTTTCATTGTAACTAATATCTTTTCATCAATAATATTTTAATTTAACATTAAAGCATAAAATATGTTTGTCATGTTAAATTATTTTTATTATCTA